AGTCTATACTAAAATATAAAATTATATATACACTTAAACATATATATATATATTGAATCATGTTTTGTATTATAAAAAATACTATAAATTATACATTATATATTATATTATATAGCATTATATTGCTATATATTTTTAAAGTTATGTTTATTCTTAGTATATAATAAATTTTTAAAAAATATAAGTTTATTACAATTCATCGAACCAACTATCTTCTACAATATTTTTTGTATTCTAAGATTTTGAGAAACTGCAACTAATTTTTTTACTCTATTATTGCTTAATTTAGCATGCAATTTACTATGAATAAATCCAAATTGAGACCAATTGCATTCAGCTGAAGCTGATGAAGTTGGTATTGATAATAATTTAATTGCTAAATTACAAGCAAAGAGTGTTTAGATTCAAAATTAGATTTCCACCAGCTAATAGAATTAGAATATTTAATTGATTCCCAAAGTAAAGAATTAGAAAATTCATCTGATTTTGCAATATATTTTTGAATTGTTCTATATAACTAATTAAAGATAAAAATTAAACTTCTTAAATATTTTAGATTAAATAAACAAATATTTTATATAACTTACATGCACTGCAGTAGCAGATGAATAACTTTCATTTAAATATAGAATAATAACTTCTGTTAAATCATCTGGTTTTAAGGCTTTTCTATGAAAACTATTTAAAAATATATATTAGCAAATTGCTATTTGTATAGCTTTGTAAATGCTTTATTGTATATATAAAATTATTAAATTATAAAATTTAAAAATTACTATTTTTTTAATATTTATATTATAATATACTTACTTTGGATCTAATAAATTAGCAAGTGCTAAAGCTGGATGAAAAATAAATTTGAATCTTGTAGTAATCAAATTGAAAATTTCTTCTTCATGATATAAATCTAGATTAAGTTCTTCAACTGATAAATAAAGATTATTCCACTCTGCATAAACATATGATAATAATGGAGTATCTGATTCAAATAATTTAATAAAATGTAACAATTTTAAAAGTTCTAACTTATTCCATAATTCTTCTCCTAAAATTTTGGTTTTCAAATTATAGCCTATAATATTAGAAATGGTAGGTTGTAAAACAGATGTTTGAATTGCTATTTTACAGTATATAATAGACTGAACTGAATCAAGATAAGTTTCCCAATGTGTATCTACTGGCTTAACAAGCATAATTGTATTAGGTTCTTGCTGTAAAATAGCTTCAGCCCGATAATGACTTCTAAAAAAAGTAACAATTTCTTTTGTATTATTCATTGATTCCTCTACCCAATCTAGCTTAAGAATATCTTTAATTAAAAGGTTGCCTACATGTGAATTACATCTCATGCAAATAAATATTTGAATGATG